AAAAAAAAAAAAAAAAAAGAAAGAGAGAGAGAGAGAGAGAAAGGATAGAAAAGAAAATATTTCTTAATACGTCAGAGAAAAATTCTATTACCCTGGACAGTAATATGCAGTTAATTTTCGTGACGAAATTGGAACTGAAAGAAGCAAATTGAAGATGGTATTACAGCACGTCAGAACTACTAAGCTGTCGCTAATAGAATTGTTGCTTTATCTGCGCAGTCAGTGCGGCGACACTGTCATTTTTATCCTTCTTGCGAGAGATCGGTCGAGAGAGGACGAACGCGGTCGTAATTATTATCGTCTCTTCCTTTTTGCCTTTCGTCTTCATTCGAGATCTTTTCTTTTCTTTTCTCTTTTTTTTCCACCTTCTCCGTTATCCTCTTTGTTGAGATATTATACGAACAGCTCGATGAGAAAAATTTGTTTCCTTCTCTTTTTCTTCATTACCGTGTCTGCTTTTCCTCGCTTTTTACAATTCGTCCCTCGTTTCCTTTCTCTCTCTCTTCCTCTCTCTGTCACGTTTCTCGCTGCGTTTCCTTTATGAAAAGAATCGCGCGAATAAAGTCCCTCGCTTCCTCCGCGCGTTCCGTGTGTGTAACCGCGTCTGTCATAATTACCGAGCCAGTTCTGCCTTTGACGCGCCCGGTAAACTTAAACCATCGCCTCTTCGGCCCTCCCCGGTTATTTAAAGGCTGACGACAACTCGATTCTAACGTCTGAAGTTCCCTTTGACCTTCAAACACTCTCTCGTTTCAAATATTCTTCAATGTGGGACAACCTCGATTTATAATTTGTAATTGCATTTGTAATTTCCAGTGGAAAGAGAACGTGTCGTACGACGCGTCTGACCACGCAGCGGTCAATATCACTTACTCGGGCGTTCCCACGGACAGAAACGTAAAGTGTTTGATTACTTTTTCGCGCGAAATGTATACGTAATTTGCAAAGAATTTCTTTACTAGTTTGTAATTATCATCAATCTACCTGTGAACATTTTCGAACCAAGATTCTTAAATTTGCAATTATTTTTCTTTTTTCTTTTTTTTTTTTTTTTTTCGTACGACAGTACGGTGGAAAATAATTTAACGCGAGTCTAATCGCGTTTACTTACCAGAGTCGGTTCTTTTACTTTCAGAGTCACCGAGGCGTGAGTGTCTACACGAAGTAACAGTTTTCCGGCTCGATTCCCAAAACTTTCACGGTTATTCGCCCGAGCCCGAGCGACTTCGTGAGAGATCGTCCTCTGCCATAGAAAACGAAAGTTGATGAATAGCGAGCGGAAGTCGATCATCTAGCCAAGGATCGGAAGCTGTGAACCGAGGACGTTCTCACGGCACGAAGGTAAGTTTCACTGATTTTGCGCTCTTAATTCTTTTCTTTTCTCTTTTTTTTTTTTTGTCGCCGTTAGCTACGATTTAATTTCGTAATCACATTACGATTTCGTTTACGCGTTCTCGAAACGAGCAACGAACGCCAAAGGAAAAACACTCGGAAAACTGAACGTATCATCTGAAATGTAACAAATTAATAGTTTCAGTGCCACTCGCTAGTCTTTACTGTCGTTAATTTACGAATTGAGAGAATGTCGTTCGTGATCGAGCGAAACAAGTCGAAGCAAAGGAGAAATTGATCGTGTTCGATAGATTCGATATCTATGCCAGGTACGCAGTTTCGTTCGCATGTGGTCGCGAATAGAAAACGGAGCAGTTCCAGGCAGTTGTCGACGAGGCGTTCAATTAGCCTGTTAAATCATCCGATAACAGGACCGTTCGGTGCTTTGATAATCATCCTCGCCGGTAATTTCTCTAGTGTCGCTGATGCGCGTATCTTAAAGTAATGGGTCACTGCTTACGTAAGTGCATGTCGATGCACTTTCGAGCAAGCAGAAATTCACCTACCTCTCGTAACTGCATTGCCTTTCATTTAACCAGACCAGCCATTTGTCATTTCGTTCACGAGGAACTAGCGACATCGTTCGAGATCTGCCATTGGCCATTGTACCACAGTTTATTCGTATGTTTATTATTTAATTCGTTTAACACTCGTTAACGACGATAAGACCAATTGATTTAATCTTTTTCTCACGAAGAGAAATTCATATTTTTTGCTTAATAACTTTTCAACTCGAACGTTTTTAACTGTGCGTTCTGTCTCGTCTGAGAATTTGGAAATTGGAAAGTTCAGTCTGCTGGCGGATGTGGCATTTCAACACGATAAAACGCGATTAACATGGGTTCGCTAATGCAACAAGGCGTCCTCGTGCACGCGGTTGAACGCGCCAATGCCGAGCTCCGTCGAGCCAAGCTATTATTGTTCCGAGACACGTACGCGAACGATAGAACTGAAATTAGCGTCGTCAAAGCCGCCACACTCGGTACACTCGGTGAACTTGCGAAACACCATACCCATTACGCGGATTGATATTCGGCGCTAAATAAACGTCACGTCGGAGCGAATTCCCCCAAGTTTATTGCAAGTTATATTCCTCTATAGTTTCCTAGCACCTCCTCCGGCCACGGTATCGCTTGTAAACTAGCAAATTTCCTGTTTCCTTTGCTCCACTCTGACTCGTTAACTCGTAAAGTTCTTTCGTCGTCTATCTGGCCAGCCGGTCTATTGGCGGTTCAGGGCTAATCTCAGTTCCGGGTGTACGTGTTCCTAATAGATAATAGACACGCCAAACCGCGTATCTCACGGGTCGTACATGGGATGCTCGAGGAGATACGCGATATCATCGTACACACTGGTGTATTCACGACTGGACTGGTCCTTTGTACAGCCCACCGGCACAAAGGATCCATGGACGAGAAATGGTACTTCCGCGAGAATAAAATTCTCCGGTGTCCGCGTGTCCGCGTTGAAAATCCAACGATTTTAGCAAGGCCGAGGTGAATTTTCTTCCTTACTTTCGTGGCTATGCGAGAGTTCGCGTTAATCATTTCCTCGGTTCCCTTTGTCCCGTGGCTCATTCGCGCTAATTAGCCGGACGAGCCAACTCTCCGAGGATAGCATCGTCGCGATGCTCTACGACGATTCTGCACAATGTTCTGCGCTTTGTCAGACCGGTCCAGGTGGCCAGGTGCAACCTACCTAGAATTTTGCTTCAACTTGCAGTTTCCAGCCTTTGTTTCTGCGTGATTGACTTCGATCTCTCGCGGTTAATTGCCACACAAACATCGCGTAGACAGCAACTGCGCGAGTTTGGCAAGCTTTCGACTTTTTCTCTCAAATATCTCGGTACTTTTTCTTTTTTTTTTTACACCGAAACTGACGAGTTGCAACGCGTACAAAGATATTTGTTCTTTCTTTTCTTTTTATCTTATCTCTAGGCTACTGCCTCGAATGATAACTCGTAACGCACGTCCCGGTGTCTCCAATTAATTTCGACCGCTTCGAGAATTGCTGTTTCTGCAGCTGGTGACTGCAACGTACCGTTTCCTTTTTCGCGGGCCGCGGCCGGCAAATGACATTTTAAGTATCTCTACTGCGGAATTAGGAACAACGACGTGGCTTAACGACTGTCCAACTTGAATCAGCCGTGTACCATCGCGGCAATACAATCAATTTCTGAATAACTGTTCTCGTCTTGTAATTTGAACTTGATTCACCCGTTTTTTGAATTCTTGCGCTGGAATGACGTGTAACAATTTTCACGTGCAAAATTGCAACTTTTTCTCAGTTTTAAGTATATTTAAATGTAACCCAGACAAAATAAACGATAACTTTGTTACTTCTTAATTACTTCTATCCAGTGACATCCATACCGACGAGTTAAAAAGACAAAGAAAGCGAATTATTGTATACCGTTCGGTCACTCGTTACGGTCCGCGACCCAGTTGCCAGCGCAACGGGTTAACATTAGAAAGATTAACACTGCCGACGATTAAAGCGTAAAGTTTCCATCGGTGAAATCCAAGTCGAGGAAAGCTTTTGTTTGCATATTTCACGAAATTATTTAAATCTCTAAAAATGCGTTTCGCGTCTATAAAATATCTTAAAAAAAATTATCAATTGGCCATATTTTGAGTTGATACAAGTGAATCTGTTTCTATCTGTTTCTTCAATTCGATTTCTCTTTCCCCACCCGGGGAAACAGCGGCTCGAGTTTCGAATTGTAGACGGTGTACGAACTACGTGTATAGAGGTTTCTTGAAAAAGCGCGGTCCTGTCGCGGACAGCGTTGTAAATTTAAATGAAAAGCAAATATACTTTTAATCTAATGGCGAGGGGGGGGGGGGGGGGGGGGGCAGGGGTTGAATCAAGAGTCGCCGCGCTTGTTGGCTCAACACAAACACGAAACACGAGCAAGTTCGATGCATTTCAAACATCCATACTGGGTGTTCAATATGGTAACGCAAACTTTGTTTTAACGCACGCGGGTGGGGGAGAAACTCGAGATCGGATCTCGTTTTGTCACTTGGATTTTCGGAACGGGCTCCCACTCCCCCCTTCCCTCCCACTCCCCTCTCCCGTGCCTCGATTTTTAATTTTCGTGAATTAAATCTCGCATTGTTTTCCCCTTAATTGAAAAAATATACACGCGTGTCCGCTTTGTATAGTATTACGTTTCGAACGCGAGAGAGAGAGAGAGAGAGAGAGAGAGAGAGAGAGAGAGAGAGAGAAGGAAAACAGTTGGTGAACATGAATATTAAAATCAGCGTTCCACGCCAGTGTATCAGGTTGTTGAAATTTTTCCGAACCAATTTCGATTGCGTTCCAATTTGAAATACAATACAATCTCCAGCCACAAAAATAAAATGCACGATAGAAATCCAGTCGTTTCCATTCGGAACGTCTTTGTTCGTCGAATTTGTTCCTAAAAAGTTTCCTTAATTTTTCCGCCAGCTTTATCGCACGCGCTCTATTGAAAATGAAAAAACGTTGGAGATAAAGCTAAATTCATGCGCAGTCGTATGAAATTTTGCTGTTTCAATACCGTTTGAAACAAAACGAAATACGCGGATTCGTCTGCTGCTATGCGAAATGTGTATATTATTGATTTTTAAATTGAAAAGATGAAATTGCAAAAAAATTGCGAAGCAAACCAGCCCATTTTCTCGTTCGCTGGAATTATTTGTCGGCAGAGGTAGTCAGGACGGAGAGAGGCAGGCAGATCTTGGCAATCATAAGCAGCTTGATCCTCTTAAACGTGAAGAATGGTATCATCCTTCCTCTCGAGGCGCCATCTTCAAACGCGCTGAGTCGTCGACGATGAAAAAGCGCCCTTAGCATAGGTTAGCCGTGGCCGGCTGGTAAGGTCACGATGGTGATTATCATGTCTGCGGCTTGCGAGTTATCTTGATGCAGTTTTCGTGCAAAAAATTTATCGTTGCTTCTCGCTCTTCTGCCTCGTGAGCGGCAGTTTCGCTTTAACGAGAGGATGATTGCGACGTCAAACGAATTCTCAGCTTGCGATCAGCTTTTCCTTCTCTCGTCTCCCAATCTCGGGCCTTTTCTCTCGTTTGTGTTTGAATAAACACGCGATGAAGAAGTTGACAACCGGGATAACCGGGTAATCAGGGGAAATCAATAATTCTAAAGAGCCAATTTTATCACAATTTTCTCGTCTTCAGACGAGTCGTGGTGTTATTTCTTTTTAATAAAACGCGACCTGTATTCCCAAGCGAAATTTAATTCGATTGAATTTCGCGATACTTCTCGATACCTTGACTCTTTATTGATTACATAATTCAGATGATTTCCCAAAAGGAAAACAACGATCGTAACTACAAATTGCAATCGGAAACGTAGAATCGCTTCGATTAAGCAGCTCTTTAAGCGCGTCCCAAGCCAAATTTCACTACAGGACAGTAAGTGAAATGATCAAGAGTTGCATTTTACCAATCACTCCCAGGTACTCCGATATTCCAATATACCGATATATATTCCATTCGATGAGGTGGCTCGCTAAAAAATTATCGACGCAGCATTCGTCGACCAAGTGAAAGTACATGCATCTATTAAATTTCCTAGCGCACGATCTAACAAAGAAATTGGAAAATGAGGCTGCGTTGTTGCCGATATTGTTCCTGTTATCCCCATTGTGTAAAACAGACACGCTCTCCTCGACTCTCTCTCTCTCTCTCTCTCTCTCTCTCTCCGTAGTTTTCATTCGTTCGATTGTTCATCTCGTCTGTGTTTCACTGTCCGTTCGGTTGGAAAGCGAGAGCGGTTTATCAACTTCCGCTTGGAGTCCATGGTAATTTCGATGACGCGTTGGCCGCGATAGGAGCGGCCGATTGCAGGCCTCGAGGTCGTCGCGTTGGCTCGTGAACGCGCGAGGACGCTTCGCGCGTAGGCGTCGAGCACGTGCAAGGGTGTCGTACTCGCCGGAATGCGCG